ATCAGAAAAAATGAAGCAAACCAAGAGAAGTCTCATTGCTGTCTACAAGCCCACGGCCTCTGGTTTGTGGATAAGAAGGAGAGTGTCAGTGAAAGACCACTACGTTGCACCCACGGGGACTTCTGGAGCAGTGGTTAAAGCGACCAGCTCCTAACCAAGGCTTTGAACCCACCGGCTGTCTGCCGTCTGATGAGGCAGTCTGCTTCCTAATGATTTACGGCCTTGGACACCCTTTAGGGGAAGTTCTTGGTACTCTGTCAGACAGGGTTGCTATGAGTTGGAATTGATCAGCAGCAGAGGGCTTACAATGGCATCTCCATTCTTGACCAGTAATCAACATTTCCCTTCATCAACACACAATCTGCCCATCAATAAGTCATCCTTGAACACTTAGCCATGTGCCAGGGAACTGTGCTAATGACTGGGGTTACTCTAATCGTGAGGTTAAAGCTTGCCCAGTGAGGACAATGCATGTAATATCTCAGCAAAAAGGCAAACTTATTACGTTTTTGAAGTTCCTTGAATCTCTGTTCCATAAATGCAAGTGATCTTGTGTGAGTGTGATCTTATGTTAAAAAGTGGGTGTGGACATGGACAATGCATGCCTATTTCCTTGAAATCCTTGGTCCCCGTCCTGAAGCTGCCCACTTCCATGCGAACTAGTAGCACTACTATCCCTAGTGACCACACCCGAAAGAGAGCGTCTTGGCCTTGAAGCTAAAGATGGACCAGGGAGAAAGATGGGAATGAAGATTAGCAGTGGGTAACAAGAAAGAAAGAGCGTGTCAAGACCCAGAGCAAGGACTAAGGTATTCACCACTCACACGGAAGGCCACACACGCAGTCCTTCTAGGGTGGCATCAAGGACCCCGGGCCTGCCTGGGAGCTTATGTTGGGCTTGCCCTACATCAACATCACCAGCATGGCGAGCCAGGTGTGCTTTTGCTTTCACAGTGACTAAAGCACTGAAACTGGGGAAAGAGGTGAATCGACTTGAGCTATTTTCACTCTAATTCCCTGGAAAGCTCCGCAGGTCAGTAACAGTGCACCTTCCGTCTGTTCTGGGGAGAACAACTTGCCGAAGGAACACTGACAAGAACTAGGGATTACTCTTTTCACTTATCATGACAGGTTTTGGGGAGATGACAATTAAGAATACCATTGAAATCCTATTCTGAACTGACCTAAGCCAATTTAGCACTTCAGAACATGTCTGGTTCTTGTGACAAGTAGTGCTAGCCTCCAGCAATTAGAGGTAGATGAGAGTTACCTCCTTGGAGGTAATCCCGAGTGTGACGTGGGGTAAATTTTAACTGTCAGAAGCGGTAACCCGCAGCCACACTCGGGATTACACTACAGAGAAGTCTGCAAAAAATTACTGACATATTTAGGCCGCCAGGGGGCTTAAACTTTATCATACTTGGAATGTCTACTAGAGAGATTAAAATGCGTAATTTCTTAAGAATTACAGGGCTACAATATAAAAAAACAAATTTTATACAAAACAAAGAACCACTTTGGGTACAGAATTCTGGACAGAATTAGACCGCCAGGGGGTTAAGAATCTCTGCCCGTTTCAGCCCAACTTGTGCCAATACACACGAACAGACAGGCACTGAACCAGATAACCTGTCCTTTTCTGGGACGTATTTCTCCCTTTGCTCTTGGCAGCAAATAGGAAAAGTTTCCTTTGGGAGATCCAACATTCTCCAGGAAGGAAAAGCAAACCTCACCGTCCAATGGAAACAGAACCCTCTGAGAAGTGGTTCAACACCATCTCCTCTGCTATCCTTTTTACTCATGAAAACATCTGTGGTGCAGTGAAATGACCGCATGGCTCTTCCAGCCATCGTCTTTCTAACTCCCACCGAATGACTACACAGGAGCATGGAAAGGGGCAGAGTGCTCTTACTCGGGGCTTGGTCCATTTTGCTATTCTGCTCCGTATGAGTGAGTCACCTCAGAAGCTGACGTGAGAACTGTGAGACCATCAAGAAAGAAGGGCCACAAGTGAAGAGCATATGAGATCCCTGACTGAAGTGGCAGAAGCATTAGACAGAGGCATCAGGGGCCGCAATACCTAGATCATGAGACAGAGCAGAGTTGCAGCGCTGAGACCATAAAGCGGAGTGGCAACCTTCCTGGCCTATGGTATGAATCAAGCTGCATGCTTTCAGGCAAGAGGCTGGCTTACACAACCTGTGCTGCCCTTTGGAATTTACCCATCCTAAATGAGCTTTGTGATACTTGTTCAAGCAGGGCAGAGGTCAAAGAATAAGTGTGACTGAGAGTTGAGGACCAGAGAGTGGCAGAATGGCTGACGAGGTGCTGCTGTATCCTTATGTTTTCTGATCCTGACTTGTAATCTATAAATGTTCTTAATAAATTTCCACAATCATGAGTATTGTCTGAATTCGGTGTGGCCCTTCAGTGGATTATCAGACCCAGCAGGCAAGCAGAATGTTATGGGAGGAACAGTTGGTGTCAGGGCAGGGTCAATAAGGATGAGGGATAGAAACACAGACGTTCATAGGAATCATCCTTCCCCCTAGTGAACTGGAGGAGGCCAGGCAAGGCCCCATGCGGTTTCCTCAATATTAAACACCTTCAAGGTCAAGAAGGTGACTCAGATGCCTAAATATAAAGTATTTAGGCAAATCACTTTGGAGAATAATTTGTTAATAGAGGCAGTTCCAATAGTAGCCAAATGTGCCAAAAAATTAAAGTGAATTTGTACACATATACATGGTACTGTTTATATATTAGCATTCTAAGGGCATATTACCATATAGACATTATGACCATCTCTAAAAAGGAGACTTTCAATAATTTCCTACATTTTATTATGCAAATTGTATTCCATAATTTAAGTTATTGGAATCTATCAAATCTGTCTTGGAAGAAAGATAGCCAGAATGGTCTATAAAAGGCCATCATCTCACATACTTTGGACAAATTATCAGGACAGACAAGTTCCTGGAAAAGGACACCATGCTGATCAAGGAGGGAGGCAGCCCACAAGGAGGCAGCCCCTGGGCGATGTGGATGGACACAGGGCTGCCTGTGTCCGTGTACGGAGGGCACGCAACCAGGCAGTGCGCCGCTCTGTTGTCAAAGAGGGTCGCTAGAGAACCAACTCGATGGCACTTAACAGCACCTAAATCAGATTAAACTTGTCCATGTTTTCAAGTGTGAGCGTCTTCACCATTCTATTAGATAAGTTGTTCACTTAAGCACCTGCTGATCATGTCGTTTCTGTTTACACTTTTAGGATATCACAGTTAACACTTACCTCTAAGTTTTTCTTCACCAAAAATGAACAAAAAAGTGTTTGAATCACTACTTGTGTATATAAACACGATACTAGTTGTGGCTGTTAGCTTTCCATGTGGACTTGATGTACCTGTGTGGAGGCCATGTGGACTTGATGTACCTGTGTGGAGGCCAAGTGGACTTGATGTACCTGTGTGGAGGCCATGTGGACTTGATGGACCTGTGTGGAGGCCATGTGGACTTGATGGACCTGTGTGGAGGTCATGTCGACTTGATGTACCTGTGTGGAGGTCATGTGGACTTGATGGACCTGTGTGGAGGTCATGTGGACTTGATGGACCTGTGTGGAGGTCATGTGGACTTGATGGACCTG